AGACGCCTTCATCGCCTGAGGAGTGTATCTAAGATCTACAGGCACGGTTTGGAGGAACATGCACAATTTTTACGAGAGCGACTCAGCTTGCGACGGAGAAGATGAAGACCCGATATGACACAGCACATTGATTCAACGAAGCAGCAAGGTATGGTTGTGGAATCCCATTCAGACGGAAAGGATTCTCTGCTAAACTACAGTCATCTTGGAATGGTCTTTACACAGTCCTAAACAGGCTGAACGACGTCGTAGTTCGGATCCGTAAGCCATCAAATTCTAAGCCTAAAGTCTTTCTTTACGGCATCCTAGCTCCTTACTTTGGCCACAATACGTAGCAGGCGCGTAGCCAAGGCACCCTCCCGCTTCACCATTGCCTATGCTTAATTTTTTTTTTTTTTTTTTAATATTGCTTTCCAGCTTCCCAAAAGTTTCATGTGATTAACGAAGAATGAACGTAAAGTATACGATTTTTCATGTAGAAGTAAGATCAGGAAAAGTCTTCCTTCCTCAGCAAACAAGCGGCGGGAAAATACTTCGAAGGTTATGTGACACTTCCGAGTCGTAAAGCTTTTGTTCTTTTACAGTATTGTAAAGTCTTCTATATTGAGTCTCACTTTCCTTTTTAGGCAAAATGTATAATATTGCTGAACATTGCTAGTTTGCCATAGGTTAGAATATCAGAACGAGCTTTCATGGTTTTCCTTACTTTTAAGGAAAATACAAAGCAGTTTCCCTCAGAAAGTCCTCCACAGATGGGATGGCATCCCTTCCCTAGTCATGCCTGTGGAAACAGATAACGTTTGTATGTTTTTCTGTACTGATTTAAACAACAGTAAGCATATATGAAATGCTAATTATAATGATAAAAATTTGATGTAATTGTAAGATCATATACATCGTCGACATTAAGCCGAAATTACGAATCAACAACATCCCTTTCCAAAGGAAATAATTTTATTGACATGAGCTTTAGTTTGCAAAAATCGATGTTCTACGCTGTAGTTCTAACATGTTTATAAAAAACAAATGCATTTTACTTTTTTGTCATAGTGCAGAACAGAATAGCAGAAAAGAATTCAATATTATTATTAAAGGGTATCACCGTTGTCCTCGGATAGGAATGCGAAAATATTGTTCATTTTTTTTTCTGGTCCATTTGCATCATATAACAGTTCAGATTCATGGCCTAAATTTTTAAAATGATAGTATTCGTTTTCAAATTTTATAGTGTAGAACATCGATTTTTGAAAAATTTTTTAAACTGCTTGATGATTCCAATAAGCCCTTAGGGATAAACTATGAGAGTTACGGTCAATTTGATCATGAGAAAGTGAAAAGTAGCGGATCAGATCTAACCCATCGAAACTTGCTATGTTTTTCCTACAAATTTTGCTGTATGTTGTGTTAGTAGCAATAATGCTTTAACTTGTGTTCAGTTAATATAAATCACTTAATATGGAGCGCCCTGGAAAAGAAAAGCATAAATTAACAAAAAGTGTACAAAAATTGAGAGTTTCTTTTCTCCAAAAACTTCTACATTTTCTAATGAAATGAACTCTACCGGAAGCATTTCTGTTGTGTAAAAAGGTAAAAAAATTTTCCCCTCTCATTTGAAAATTCTGACTATTATATAATTATAACTATAATAATAATAGATCTCCCATCCCTCTCCCCTTCCACTAAACCACACGAGAGGACTTCCGGCTGGCCGCGTATTTAGAGTGCCGCCATGTATGTGAGTGTGTACATCAGAAATGAAAGTACAATAATTGAAGTCCCTTTAATTGTATTATTCCATTTTTGTTATTTATTATTTCCTTTATTAGGCTTTTTAAAATTGCTTTAATAAAGGTTAAAGTGATTAAAGTGAAAAATAAAAACAGTTTCGCATTTAATATGTTTGTAAGGTAATAATTATAAATACTATAATTAAATGCAATGTATCCATATTATGTAGCATAATTCTATTATTAATTTATAATATACTTATTATTTATATTATGATAACTTCAATTAACATGATATATTTTTCACGTAATAATTATGTATCTATTTGAAGATGCTGTAATAGGTAGAACAGTACAACCATAGGAGTCGTAACGGGCACCCTCCCCTAATTTGAGCTGGCTACGTTCATGCATATTATATATAATATAAATAATATAAGACATGGTCCTCTTTTTTTCTAAATTTATAAATTTATGCACTCAATTTATAATTTAGTATTTGATTTGTTTTATGTTATTTTCTGAAATTTTTAAGTATTGCATTGATGCCTTAGTTATGACTTCCTATCCAGGGATTTTACTGCCTGGGATGTGCAGTCCTTGGGAAGGGAGCAATGTTAGGAATTTTGTACATTAAAAGATGATATTGGTGCAATTATATGTGAAATTGTTGTATTTTTCTCTGTAACATGAAAAATGTAAAAAGGAAAGCTATGCCGTAAAAGTAAGCATACAGGGATAAGTCCATTTAACATTGAGTAAAAGGGTATCGGTAATTTGGCGACCATTGGGTGACATTTTGATCTGGTCCCTGTATCACTGTAATAGGTATTGTCATTGAATAAATGTAATTGATCACTATATTAGATTGTAGGGTTTATATTTATTTTAACTAACATTTATTTTAAGTTTAAACTATCTTTCCTGTCAAGCCTTACTTTCCCCTGGAACTGCCAATGCCAGAATATGTAAATTTTAGTAGAACGCGCAAGCATTCAAATTATCAGCGGAAGTATTCTGATTTAAATAGAAGGAAACGAGTTCGGTGTGATATTCTTACTTAGCGAGCGCGGAGGTAGTTAGCGAGAATTGAAGAACCCCGCGTTGCGGCCTATGTGCTTGGCGGGAAGTAGTGGTAATCGTTCCAGTGAGCTTCAAGTCTGCTGAATTAGCAGCGGTATTGTAAAACGCGGTGAGTTAGTTATTTTAGAGAGCCTCGTAGTTAGAATCTTGTCTTTACTTTCTTTTCAGGTTATTATTTTTATTTGACTGCCAAGTTGGCACAGTCTGTGAGCGTCAAGAGCACGCAATTGTAATTTATTACGTTGAATAAAAAGGGACTTAAACCCTTCACAAGGCTCTATCTTTTATACAAGTTTTCACAGTCACCTCTTGGTTGCGTGCAAGTTGGAGGCGCGCAACGTTATAAGATGCAACCATAATTTGACCCTGATATTCCTTTCCAGTAATTTCGAGAAGCAGAAAGTATTAGAAATATCACGGCAGCCGGTTGAAAACTATATATGTTCGGAGAGAGAGCATTTGCGTCCAGTTGTTTAGTTATTGTTTTTGTCAGTTGTTGGTTCAAAGCTGGGATATTTCCGGGTTAGATTTCTACACTGGTGTACAAAACTTAAGCAACTGTGTAAATTTTAATCAGATAACCGTGAAATTGCAGAAAAAGGATTCTTCCGATCAGTAGAATGAATACACAATTCAGCAGAAAGGTCATGCGTATGCAAATGTCAGGAAAAAAAAAAAATGTCATAGGCGACGTAAGCGTACTCAAAACGCATGCGGTCGGCACGCTCAACTCGAGACTACAATAAAAGAAAGGACGGAGACGCAATTAAAGACATTCGCTGCAAGTAAGTTCTTTTGTGAAGAAATCACATGGATAACTTCAGACGTGGAAGAATGATCGGAAAACTGGAGGAGGGGCGTCATGTGACCAGTGTAGTTAAAGAGTTCGGAACCAACCACGTGCGTGCGTGCGTGTGTGTGTGTGTGTGTATAAGTAAAATAAATGTTATTAAGCTCAGTTTATTACGAACCGATACGCATGCATCAATCTAGAGAAAAACTAAGAGTTTTATTTTCAGTTGCCAAATATCACTTTTCTAGGTTCAAATAATGAAGTATTAAATCAAACTACATAAAAATTGTGAGAAATTTTAAGAATAAGAGAAAGTCAGGAGAAATATGTTGTAAATAGTGTTGGCGGGTGCACGATCGGAAATCAGGAGTCGGGAGAATTGGCCTCTGCTACTATGCGACCTCTTCCTGATAGAAGAAGCAACTTATCTACAACAAATTAATTTTATATCGCTCCATACTTCGTTCAGCTCTCCTTTATGCAGTTCCGGTATGGGGACAGGTAGCTAAAACCAATATTAAACAATTTCAAGTACTACGGAATAAAATCTTACGAGAAATTATCAATGATCCTTGGCATATTGCAAACACTTACATTCACAGAGACGTACAAATTGAACTCATTCAAGACTATATTAAACGCCTAGCGGTCAACTTCTTTCACACAGTACAATCCCACAATGGTGCGGAGAGTGTCTCAAAGTGGCACTTTGAGACACTCTCCGCACCCCAGGGGAAAACATCGGTAACACAATGACATCCTACCCACATAACAGCAGTTTACGAAATTGACTCATTCATGCCTAATTGATTCTGCGGTTTTCCACCCACCGCTCCATCTTGGTAACGTCCATGACCTCCATGGTAACGTCAATGACCTCACTCGCCCTTTTGCCGTCTCTAGCGCCGACAAGATTCTCTTTTCACCCCCTCCACACTTCCCACTACACTGTTCTTCTTTCGTTCTTCCCCTGATTACGTATCAGAAGCGGAGTAAGAAGATGTTCCTACATCTTGATACTATCTTCGTCGTCGTAAGAATTGGCAACTCTGGGAAATAAATGATCGCGAGCTGTGATCGCCCAAGGAAAGGCTGGCAACAACTTGAAATGCCTATTTTAAAGCAGCAATAAAGTGTTCTCGGGAAACAAATTAATTTTTTTACTAATTTATTAATTCGTTTTATTCATTGTTTTTATTAAAATATAAATGTAACCAGACAAATAAATCTAAAAAAATATTAAAATCTAACAGGAATATGCTAAAAAACATCAACTGTTTCAAAGTGTTATAGATATTTATAAATTTATGAAGATATGTTAAAAGTCTATTTTTTTAATTGTACATTTCCCGTGGAAAATAATAAAGTAGTGGCATGTAATATTAAAAATAATTGTGAATTGCGAGATAAGGCGCAACTACTAAACTCTTGAAGGAGGATTAAAAAATTCATTGGAGGTGTAAGTAAATAGTGCGGTTTTAAAGTAGTAACTTGAATTCGGTTTTAAAACAGCAGTTATTTGTTTAAAATGGCGAATTCTTATAAATCTAAGAAAACCATATTAGCCCTCTACATTGTTGATGCTTTCAGTAAACAGCCATTTAAAGGGAACGGCGCCGCTGTTTGTTTAATTCCTTATGATCAAGTTAGTAAATCTTATTTTACCTACCTTGCAGAATACTTTTTGACTCATCTGTTAAATATAATATGTATTTTGTTTAAGGCGTTGTATATTTTCTTGTATTAGCAGGATTGCTTGACTTGGTATCTTTTATATGAATCTTTTCATGATTTAAAATATGGCAAAAGAAAGCCAGCCTTAGATTGATGCATATTTAGAAAAAAATGCTGTTGATTTTGAGGATGATCAAATGCATGCCCCTTTTTTTCAGGAGCAAAATATTTGTGAATCTATGCCAATCTAAGATTGCTTTTTGCCTAATTTTAAATTCTACTTGGCGTTCAGTTATATAATTTTTTTAAGTAACATTAATTTAATAATCATTGCATAAAAAATAGTTACTTTGTTAATTATGCATTGATTTTGATAGGGAATTGTTTGTGGATTTATCTCACTTATGAATTAATATTTGTGTGAGAATAGTATTAATTGTATTGTTATAATAGCTATCTGCCATTTATGTTATGCTGCAACCTTTTATTGTGCACCATATTGATTGTAACCTCCATTTCTTTTTCAGCAAGATTTGGAACTGTTAGAAAACCTCATATATCTGTGTAAAGTTTAGAAAATAATAATAATTTTTTTTTTAATGTTGTTAAAAGATATATATATATATTTATATAATTATTTAATTCCAGTCCCCATTAAAACATTATTAACATATTCCTTTCAAGTTACTTCAAAACATCTCTCAAAATAACTTACCAGTATGAATTCACTCTTTTAAAATAATTCTACTTTAATTAAACTTAGGAGATAATATAATCAATTAATCAATATTGTTTAGGAAATAAATTATTATTAACTTACTTTGCAGCAATTGCACAAGTAATAGTAACATGTTTTCACACTAAATGAATTTAAGATCATACAACATTATATATATATATTTGTTTGCCTTTATGGAACTTCTTCAGTAAGTTTGAATCAGTAACATGAAGATCAGAATAAGTCAGAAGATCTGTTTGAAGACTAGTAAAGTTTAAATAAATCCACTGCAGTTACTATTATGAATATATAACTTCAGTTCCTCATTATTACAAATGGAACTATAAGTGCAATAGTTTCTTAATACATACATTTATTCATCAAAATCTGTGTTAAAAGTGCTGTATTAAGTGAACAAAAAATTTGTTAAAGATTTCTCATGTGAAAGGTTTTTGAAGCAGCAGGTGGGTGAAATGTTATTACTTTTAAGCAATACAGACATGTTTTATGCCCTTGTTATTACTTTAAGTAATACTTACATATTCTACATCCTTGTTGGTTACTTTTAAGTAATACTTACATGTTTTACACCTTTGTTGTTACTTTTAAGTAATATGATCTATGTGGGTGAGTCTGGCGAGAGCCTTAGTGTGATTTTAAACCAAAGGTGTGGGTTAAAGCACATTTTTACTGCAGTAGATTTATGTATTGAACAAGAGAAAGGTATCTAGTGATATTTTGATGCTGAAATGATAGATAAACTCTGTGGTAAAGAAGTGAGGAACCTCTTATTAAATGAAAAATTTTCGATATAAAACTTGAGAGGGGAATTTCCCATTAAATAAATAGAACAAAAACAGTTGACAAGTAGAATTATTGTCTGTTTGTCAACTGATAAAGATATTATTCAGTTACTAATTCAGTTACTATGTATTGAACAAGAGAAAGGTATCTAGTGACATTTTGATGCTGAAATGATAGATAAACTCTGTGGTAAAGAAGTGAGGAACCTCTTATTAAATGAAAAATTTTCGATATAAAACTTGAGAGGGGAATTTCCCATTAAATAAATAGAACAAAAACAGTTGACAAGTAGAGTTATTGTCTGTTTGTCAACTGATAAAGATATTATTCAGTTACTAATTCAAAAGTCAAACAACAAAAATCAGCGTTATATTTACAAAATTTTCACAGGACTAGTTTTGATGGTTTTACCAAACCACCATCCTCAGCTGCAAAACTGCATTGCAGCTGAGGATGGTGGTTTGGTAAAACCATCAAAACTAGTCCTGTGAAAACTTTGTAAATATAACGCTGATTTTTGTTGTTTGACTTCTGAATTAGTATTTATTCGGCGTGTTATTGTGTCTTAATCATTTCTGTTCAATAAAATTAAAATTCAAACTTCAAAAAACATTCAATTTTGAAATCTTTAGCATTTGTTTCAGCAATTTTTTTTTAATGTAAAATGATATAAATAGAATAATATTAAAATATAAAAAAAGTATATTATCACCTCAAAAAGCAGATTACTATTGAAATGTAATTGTAAAAAATAATGTACTGAAAGGATTGCCATTTACATATTATTATAAGACTTCATAATGTCATTTTATTTTATTTTAAATGCTAAAATAGGATGTTGGAGAAAAGTGTATTGGAAATCAGAGAAAAGTCTATGCAAAAATTTTACAAGTGGCGTATAATGGAGTGTTGGAAATGTATGTTATTTAGTCTACTAAATTATTTTATTGAAATATTCATTATAAGATAGATAAAATAACATCCATTAAAAATGATATTAAATGATATAAAAATGAAGTCTATCTAAAATTACCTTTTTAAATGGTTTATCATGTTACCCCGACAACCAATGAACTTTTATCATAGGAATGATAAGTGGAGTATCTTAGGACTCATTGACCTGGTAACAACTTCTGATCTTTATTTGCATTAAGAAAAACAACTAAACACAAACAATAAAATCTGTTTGAGGTGTTAATAATATTTGAGCGAAAAAGTAAAAGTATGAATTCAGCTACATCTATGTTGATCATATTCATATTATGAATAGTGCAATTATTTGATTTTATAAAAAATAATTCATAATGAATATTAGTAACTCTTTAGAAATTATCTTTTTAAAAATTGTAATCCAATTACCATTCCAGTTAACATTTTTGTTCTGGTTTTTGTAATCCTGCACAGTACAGTACAAAGTCTGAAATCTGAATGTCCAATATCCGGAATGATCTGATATCATGACCTCTGGACTTCTGCCTCCTAAATAAATAAATAAATTAAAATAATAATAATAAAGTAACTCCCTTTCAAAGTCTAGGAATGGAGAGTATGATAATAAAAGGAAGCATGTGTACCATAAATGCAATTTTTCTCATGACTAAGATTCTTGCATGTCATTTTCAAACATCTGCTGACTGGGGAGTCACACTGTGGCCAATAATAATGTATTCACTGGCTTTGTAGCTGGCCAGGACTACATTGTTGGCCTCTGAATGTTTGTGGGGAGAGGGGGAGGGCCAGGATTACACATTTTGCCATTTGATGCAATCTCTGTGAGTTCTGAATTCTGCTGTCCATTACCTCCCTAAATTCTGCCATCCCTAATCTTTGCTACTTGGTGCTACCCTGTGTGGCGACACTAGCAGCAGTCCTTTGGAGGCTAGCACTTTTCTATCTGCCTAAATATAAGGGAAGTTCCAATGTTGCCATGTCTGCATGTCATCTTGCTAGATTTAAAATAATGATCTAAAATTCCAGTGATTTTGGATCTTGAACTTTGTACTGTATTCTTATTTTTTCATACAAATTTTTTCCAGTCAGTATTTCATTCCCCCTTTGGCAGTTGTTATCTTTTTCATTGCTTACTATTTTTCAACAACAATGTGCATTAGTTATTGTCTTTAAATAGTCAAATTTCGGTTTCCTGAAACAATATACAGTTATTCAATGTTTGAGGTTATAATTGACAGCTATATAAGTTATGACATAGAATATTGTTTTATATTATGTCAAAAGTAGATGAATTGGTATGAGAGATTTATCAGTGCTGTTGAGTTTTAGATATTGAAGAAGTTGTAACAATGAAGTGCATGAATCATACAATGAGGGCCATGTCATCTTGAAATTTATGTAAAGATTTGTTTGCCGAAGCCTAAAAATTTATTAACTTTAATTTATACATTTTTTAGTTATTCCTTTTGTTGTATGATTATTATTTCTTATAAATTTTGAATTTCTTTTCTTATAGTCTGTCCCAAGTGATATCAAACAAAATATAGCTTCAGAAATAAACTTGTCTGAAACAGCTTTTATTAAAATTATTAATGAAGAAGATACCTTTGAAAATAGTATGTTTTATTATTATTAATATTTGATATCTAAAATAATGTTAACACAATTATTTGATTCTTTTGTATATCTTTAATACCTTAGTTTTCATTTAACAATGTTTTATTAAAAGAATATTGTAATTTTATGTTAAATAAAGTAAAGGGGTGCTTATGTAGTATCCTGTTGACTGTGAAAGTTGACTGTCATCAAACCATGAAAGTTTCCGGATATTCTGCCAAAGCCAAACAAGTTGATTCTGTGGAATTCTGAACCTCACTTCTGTCTGTAATTGTTACAATAAAATATTCATGCTCAATTCACTAAATAGGCACTGCTGCGGAAGTATTCAACCTACTTCGTTTTATACTTTGTAGAAAGGCTTTTGCTGATTTCTACTATTTTGTTAAGCTTTCCAAATTTGCTAGAAGCTCTATTTATAATGTTATGAGTACAAATTTCCTGCAGGTGATTGTTCTGATCTATAACCAGTTTGTTAGCCATATCCAGCTATTCTTTTACCCATTCAACAAATGTTAGTTCTCTCAACTGCCTGCAATTGAACTGGAGTGTAGCCACAAATGTGATTCTAGAGCCCTCAAATTCATTTTTATCAAAATGCAAGAAAAATCATGCAGCAGTAATAGTTAATTTACGCCCTTGTTCATAAAATTAATGAGAGTTAACTTTAGACAAAATTGCAGGTGTTACGAGTATATTGTAAAATCACTCTTATCTATAATTGGTGCTAAATTACGTTGCTTGCTGAGAATTTCATCGTCAATGTGATAATACATACACACGTGAAAAAATTTGTTTAAAACACGTAAAAAGTTTTATTTTATGCATTATTAGCTCATGGTAATTGATGCTAATTTTTTGAAAAAATTTTTGAAAACTCGTAAACAAAAAATTAAGTATTAGATAATTTAAATAGTTTAGACCCAGTTTAAAAATGAAACACAAAGCATCAAATCTGAGAAGAGAATATTTTTAATCAGTTACTATAATTTTCTGCAATTTTCTCTCAATGTTTCGCAAGTTTTAGGATTTCTTTTTTGCAGAAACTGCTGTAGTTTATGAGGCAAATTTTAGCAGCCTCTACAGAATCTCACTACTGTAATTTATATTATTCTGCTGGGAAAGAAGCATGTGAAAGTCTGAAGAAATTACAACTGGCAGTATAGAAGGTAATTGAAGATTTATTGCTTTAAGTCTCAATTTTCACAACATTGCTTGGGTAGCTTGAAATATCTGATACTGTTGTGATGGTTGATGACCCTGTTTGCTGAAACCACTGAAATAGCTGAAACTAGATAATTTCCATGAATTTGCACATTGAATTATTAAGATGTCTAAAGTGTTTAGTCTCTGTGATTGTTTTGCCAGGTAAGAGAAGCATGCAGAAAATGATTTTCCTCCAGTACCTCTCAGACAGATAGTAACATTTTCCTTGATGTAAAGCAACTCTTAGCAGGGAACTCTTCATTTGCTTGTTTCTGTTCCCTATTTCATCACATGTTGTTTCACATTATTGATTTTTCATTGTCTGGTTCAAATCAATGTGGAAACAGTTTTTTTTTTTTTTTTAATTACTCCTAAGCAATGCAGAAGCATGAGCTAACTTTTTTTTTTTTTTTTTGTTTAAATGTGTAGCACTCAAGCACTCATGTATTGAACTTTTAGGCAAAGCCAGATTGTTTAATCATGGATGTAGATGAATTGTTAATTTTTATCCTTTCAGCAATCTTCTTAGTTGTAATCCTTTTGATATTTTTTGTTAAGGCATAACACCATTCAGACTAGAATGCATCATTTAAGTCACCATTTTGAAATCTGCCAAGCCACATTTTTACTGTTTGGAAAACATAATCACGATCCAGTTACTTGTTCCTGAATATGTTATGTTGCAAACACTTAAGCAGAATGTCTTGATTCGTATTAGTTCTATTAAGTGTTAAACTACCTGGGCAAATTTTGAATTGTTTTAATGCAGAATTATTATTGAAAGTTATAATGTCATTAATGTATCTAAATGTATTTGCAAATAACTTTAATTCATTATTCAAAGTGAGATGGAATTTATATTAATTCACAAAAAGAAATAGGTTACATATTTGTGTAGAAGTATTTGCTCCCATTGGAATTCCTTTCACCTGCTGAAAGATCTTATTATTATTGAATTTAATGTAGTTGTTAAATAATGCACAATGCAGGTAAGTTTTCCATCTTTCAATTCAGAGACTGCTTAGCATATCAGGAAAAGGTTGTGGGAGTTGCATTAAACTAGTATAAATTTCATCCAATGGTAGAGAAGTATAAAGGTTTTTTAAGGCATAGCAGTTAATGTTCTTGATTTCTAAATTTTTAAATTAGTTGAGAACTAGAGCGTTATTATAATTAATCCGACAGTAGTTGTGCTGCTTGTTAACTATTTGATGAATTAAAATACATTTTTTTAAAGTTTAATTGCAAATATGTAATCTATATTCTTTTTATAATTATTTGTAGCATGTGCTATAAATCTAAATTTGAGTGGTGATTTATGGAATTTTGGAAGAGTATAAAGATTTGCTACTCTATTGTAGTTAGATGATTGTGTAGTTTGTAGTTTCTTATGAATAACTTTCAGCTTTTTTGCTGACATTTTCTTGTGTATTGGTAAGTTTGTAAGTAATGGCTTTATTCAGTTCAGTATCAACTAGTGAGACATAAAAATTTTTTTTCAAATAATGCTGTAATTATTACTAGCTTTGTCAATTTTGGTGATTATGAATTTTTGTTTCAAATCTTGTATTAGAGGATTGGAAAAATTCCATGGTAAATTGCTATTAAATTCAGTCCTTTGAATTCTTCAAACACTTTATGTTTCCAAGCCATAAAGGCAGAATTTGAAGTATTTAATTTGTAACTGTTTTAATTATGAACTCGTGAAGATATTTTTCAAAACTTCTAAAACATTGATTTTTGCCAATTTTCAGTACTGGTCTAAATTTTGTGCCTTTTTTCATTAAATTTCTTAAAAGCTGGTTTTGAACTATTGTTAAATTGCCAGTAATGATATGTTTATGAAATTCGTCTACATAGTCTTTATATTGAAGTTCTTTGCATTATCAATGAGCTATAGAAGCTAGATCATAATGGTTAATCAAGGTCTTTGATTATATTGGGTCCCATAAAATGCTGTTGAGCAAACTTCATAAGTTTAAGAATTTGTGCTTACAAGTATGCAACCAAGTAATGATATTTTTGGTAAAATTTTCAGTTAAGTAATTATTAATATTATCGTTTAACTTTATCTATTGCAGAAAATAATTTATTTTTCTGTTTATTACCTGCTCTGGCTCCTCGTAATACATTGAAACTAAGCAAAAACCTCGTTACCATTGAAAAATCCAAATTTTTGCAAGAATAAAGCAACAAGATTCATTATTGCAGAGCTGGTGTCCTGTGAACAATGTCTTACTGTTACCATTTATTTGGATATTCTGAACTTTCTGGTTTCAAAAATATTGCATAACGCTTGAATGTTGAGAAGAGTATGCCTGGTTTCTTTTTTATGATAATGTTACTTATCACAATGGTTGCCACTGAATACTTTTCGGCCACAAAACACATTTGCATTTTGTTAATTCTACTTTGTGAGCTATGTGACATTTTTTTCAGTATAATGATATTTTCACTGTTGAATACCTAATAAAATGTTATGAGCATTTAAATACATTCCTTTAACTCTTCCTAATGGTGATTCAGTGATCTCAAAAAGTAAGGTATAGTAGATGCTCACAAATTAGAGGAAATTATTCTGAATAAATAAAGATTAGTAATTTACTACAGTGGCTGTTATTTTATTATTATTGTTATTACTTTTTTTATCATTAGCATATCTTTTGGTTTCAAATTGGTACACTGTATGTATAACTTCATTATTCAAAGTTTCATATTTTCACTTTTAAAAACTGTGGTTTTATATTGTTACCTTTTTTCCTTGGAATTTTTGTAGTATTGAATAAAATTGAATTTTTCTTCTCAGCTAAGCGATTTGCCCTACAGTGGTATACGCCCACATGTGAAGTTGGTCTTTGTGGCCATGCAACGGTAGCTTCAGCTGCAGTTCTTTTTTCTATATGCAGTAAGTAATATCCTTATATTATTCCAAACTGAATAAAAATTCTGGAAATCAATTTCACTTCAGCAGTAAAACCCATGTGTAAAACCATATTGCAAAAATTATAATTTATGAGTAAGCTAATTTCTGTATGAATACCCATTGTAATGCTGCATTAATCTAAATTGAATGTAGTAGTTTAATAAGAATTAGTATTTTAGAGATTAATGAAGGACTATTTGAATAAATGGCTCTAATATTATCAATATTTTATTATTATTAAATATTAAAGGAACATAATCTTCAGTTTGAGAATGTGCAGTCTGAGCCAGATTTGTCTTATGATTTATTATAGTTTAACACTAAAACTCTCAGAATAAGTTTTTATAACATAAGTGTAAAATATTTCCATAATGTTTAGGAGACACGTCTAATGATTCTAAACTTTTTAATTGCACATTACAATTATCGACAGAGTTCTTAATAGATTTAATATCATTAGAGTTTTTTAATGGTTGCATAGTTGGAATCTTGTGCATGTGTGCTTGAATCTATATCTTGAGATTGGGAAATCTGTACTTTAATAATTGTATAGCTTTGTCATAGGCTTCTGCTGATATAGGTAAATAAAGGTTGTCACAACTTGAGCCTTTGAAAATTCTTCGATTTTCTTTTTCGTATGAAATTGCCAAAGCAATACTTTTTTCTCTATATTCTTTAGTTTCAAATTCGATATCAAAATTCTCAGGCTTAAAAAGTGATTCAAGTTGTTGATCATAATGCTAGATGTCCAAATTTAATTGAAAAAATTTCTATAAGCTCCTCTGTCTTTCCAGTATTTAAATCTGTTTTGATAATGCAACTTCTGAATCATTAACTCCTTTTTAATTGTCCTTTTAATTAAGTGTATGTTTGTGCTTTGGCCAAATTTTAATATATATACAAATTTCCAAGAATTCTGTCAATTCAAATCAAGTTCAGAATATAAAGATTTTCAGTAAATATAAAATTAAGTTCAGAATGCAAAACTTTTCAATAAATGTCAATTTGTTCGAAAGTATACAAAATATAGTTCACTTTTTCAGTGTCAGTCAATTCAAATATAAATTTGACATGCTAAGCTTCACTGTTTCACAATAATAAAATAAACATAAGTTCGACATTCAAGTTATCTCAAAAACATTTCTGTTTGTTTCAAAAGTATTGATTATTCATTCTGAAATCAAATACTCAAGCTTGTTATACCAGCAGGGATTCCATTTTGAAAACTATAAGAAAATTAATTACAAATCCCTTGACCTTTTTCAATTCAGAATTCTACATTAAGAAAAAAAAAAGGTTTCACTTACCGTTTTTTCCAAAAATTCTAATCTGGGCCAAGGATGCTTAGACAAAATTTCAGTGAACTGTTGAAATTCCAGTCCAAGAAAACACTTTTATTTCAGGTAAATCTTAACATGTTGAATCAAAAAAGAATTATACTCAACATCTCGCATCTCTTTTGAAATCTGAACACTTGTTGCCAATGCTAATAATATTAAAAAAAAGTAACATTTCATGCTACATGCCATCTGGTGAAAACAGAATTGTCTATTTTTATGCAAATGTTTTAAAAAAAAGAAAATTCCGGATTCACAAATTATGAGGCACACTTGTCACCTCTTAAATTTAGCTACTGAAAAAGGGGAAGCTTCTTTATCGGTAAGTGTTGGACGAACACATTGTTGATATTTATTATTATCTTGAAAAGAGCTCTAAAAGAAAGGGAAAATTGAAACAGCTCCGATAGCTGCATATTACTAAAATAAGGAAAATATTGAAACATGTATGTACATGCTGGTTATATATAGATAAATTTTTATGTAGAACCCTAGACCAATGGAACCCATTTCTTACATTTTTTTAAGGAAAGTATAAATGCTTCTAGAGTTCAGATAAAAGGCTCTGTTGAAAATTATAAAATACTTAAAGTAAATGGACATAGTTAATACTTTCACTGTTAAAAATAGATGCGAGAAAAATAATTTCTTCACCTGTGAGCAATTTAATTAATAATGCTCAGAATAATACTACAAAATATAAGCATAAATGTGATACAAAGATAAAAAAATTCCTCGAGATGGGACACATTTTCCAACTACTATAAGTTTATTTTGTGAAGTACAAATATTTATATTTTTGTTTTCGAACTATAATATAGCTTTTTGCATTTTTGTAAACTCCATTTTGCCATCATTTGATGTTCTTAGCACAGTTCTACAGTGCAGAATTGCAATAATTTACATTTCACAATCAATGATTAGTGATCTGTTTAGACTTTTAACAAAATTTGTAAAACCGTCCTTTGTTTTATCTTATAATAAAATAGAAAATCAAGAAAGATGAAGATTTGGTAATAGGGGTTTCTCTTAACAAAGTAGTGGAACAACTTTTAGACAAAAATAAGTCTTATTTCCATTTTAAAAGCTACTTCTGGCAAGTATGTGACTACATACTACATAAATTTTCAATTAAGCATGAAGCTACTTTACATGCTAAAGTTGCAGATGTTTCTGTTCTAGCCAATGCATCTCTTTCTGATATAAGGTATTTTTCAATAGATTATATGTTTTACTTTATAAAGTTTTGAAATTCAATGATATTGATGTTGCAACTAATAAAATTATAGTTTCAGTTTACAATTAGAAAACTTTGATAGATTTATAAAACCTGCTAGAACTGACACCAAATGGAATTTAATTGGAAAACTGAAAGGTGCTGATGGAATTTTGAAGTACATCAACTGTCTGGAATAATTTTGGCCATTCTGACAGTTTCCCATGGTAATGCAAGGTGTAAGAGGATTTTTAGTGTTGTTACAGTCAGTGTTAGTAAAGTCGCATTATTTTTTTTTTTTTTCAAAAACTAATTAAAGTATTATTTTCTTTTAAAAGGACAAATAATAAAAATGTTTCTTTACATATAAATATTTTTATACTATTTGCATGTAAGACTTAGTAACTAAACATTCAAATATTAATTAGTTACTATTTAAAATTAATTAATTATTAAAAAATATTTTCTTTCTCTATATTTTTATCATTTGAAAAATCTTTTTGTTATTGAGAAAAATTCTTCTGATTTTGCAAAAAAACATTCTCCTGATTTTTGAGTATTTTAGGTTGGCAAGTATTAATTTATTATCACTATATTAAAAGTACTTTGATAAGTAACAGCTTTCTCTCTCTTCTGAGGATTTTCTTAGTACAAAATGTAAGAAAATTACCAAATTAATTTTGCCAAAGAGCATAAAATTTAAAATATGTAGTTAAATATTAATATATTTTATATCAAAATCGTATTCTAAATTACTCAGTAATATGAATCATGCATTTTAAAGTGAATTGAAATTAATATTGAATTTTTTTTTCCATGAATGTCACTATGCAAAGCAAAAACCTGCTGAAACTCCCAGTTTTCATGCGAGAACCTCTATCTTTTGATATTCAAGTTTGGCATGTATTATACCATGATAATGTATTGCTAGTAATAGAACTATCACTCATAAAGCAAACTTAAATTTTATTGTGCACTAGTGCAAAGGATTTAAAACTTTTTTTTTCCTTGTTTTGAATTATTTGTTACAAACTGAATTACTGTAAAAAACGTTTAACGATGGAAACACATTTAAAGACACTTTATTACATTTAAAGATAATTGAAACATTGATGAACACAATTAGACTATTCTACTAAAAGACTATTCTACTAGGAACTGAAAAGTAAAATCATACAGGTTTCCATAAGTTGAGACAAAAATTTGGCAAATAAATACAGCTACAAATGGGATTGCCTTTTGTAAACATACAGCACAAACTTAAAAGTACATTTAAAAGGCTTGTAATTCTAGATTTTCATTTTTAAATAAATAAACACCTGGAAATAATCTGTATCTAATTACAGAATTTCAGTTCAACTGTCAGTTGCTAACACCTAGTAACATGCAATCAATAAAGCAAAGAGGAAATCTAGCTGCTAAGAGATTAGTCTTCTGAAACTTAAACTAATCTATGTTTCTCCCAAGTTGCAGTTAAGAATAATTGAAATTTATGCTTGCTTAACTAGCAAGATTTGAAGAAGTTGGATTGAATATATTAGTGTGAATGAGGAGCACAAAAGTGAGAAAACTAAAAATATTTAGCAAATTAACATAATACTGTTTTATATGATAGATTATGGGAAAATGATAAGAGTATATACATCCTGTCCTCCCCTCCGAAACCTATGTTTTTATTACATTGATTCTTTCAAAGCAAAATTGGTTAAATAATGTTATTTTTGAAAATTCTTAAGTGTTCTTAATATTTCATTTGAAATGCTAAACAAATTATATTTTACATTATCAATATCAGACTTTAAATAAGTTTTTGGCAAAATTATAATCGTTACTTTTTTATTTAATTTCAGTAGAAGAGATTCTGTATGTTCTGGAGGCTAATGGTGATAGTTTACCTTTATTAAGAACAAAATTCAAATTAATAACTTTATTCCTGGTTATTTGCTCTAATTTTCTACAATTTTTGCGATCTTTATTTGTAATGAACAGGATTTTATTCTCAAAATTGAAACAATAACACTCCTCAGAGGTGTTAAAAAGTAAATTTTAATTGAAAAATTATACATAAATTGTAATGTAAGTAAAGAAGTTTTTTTTTTTTTTAATAAAAATATTTTAGGATCTTTTTTATTATAGAACAGCACATGCTGAACAGTTATCTGTAGAAATCTGTGCACCAATATTACCTATTGATTACCTTAAAATTAAATCTGTTGTTCTTATCTCCTGTAACTGTATTCTTGTTTTCAAAGTAAGCATTGTGAATAAAAAAGTTTTATGTCACTGCATTCTTGTTTACTGAAATAGCAAACCTTAAGAGATATAATCATGCAGAAGAGATTCATTTTTAAAGATTAAAATATATCAAATTAAACAAAATAATTATGAATAATATAATGAATTAAATGATAATAATATAATGAATTAAATAATAATATAATGAATAATAATATAATGAATTAAAACAAATTAAAACACAATATACAAGTCTGCTAACAGCTTACAGCAATCTAAAAATGTAAAAATGTTTTGGCATTGGTGAAACTATTTATCTAAAATATATTCTGAAAGCATTAGTCTTTCTTTGTACTATGAGCCACACAGGTCTCGTTGAAATGATATTCAATATCTTCTGATATTTGGGTAAGAATGGTCTGACAGTAGTGTTGTTATTGCTGCAGTGATTCTTTCCTCAGTGGACAAAATTCTGAATATTTGTACTTTTGATTTCATTGCTTTTATCTGATCAGGTTTTAGGCTTTGTAGAAACAAGGAATATGTTTAATTTCCTAATCCTTCATCCCTCCCCAAAAAACAAATGCTTACCATACCTTGTGCAGTTATGACCATCCATATTTATGTTTCGTATTCATATGAATTCTTCCATATGTGAGCTGTTAGGCTCATTTTTATGTAAATACTCACACAGGGCTTAATTTCTAAAATTAGAAGTGCCGGAGCCCTATGGAAAACCGTAAGCAAAGAGGAACAAGAGTAAATAAATGAATAAAATGACTATTAAACTCATTAATAATTTTAAAATTAAATAGTTAATTATTATCAGATTAATTAATAGCTATTTAATTAATGTTTATAAATTATTATTTAATCAATAATAATTATATAATTAATTAATTATAATTTAATTGATAATAATTAGATAAGTAATTATTATTTATTGAAATAATTAAAAAATGAAGTAATTAAATAATTAAAATTAAATGCAAAAAGGTAAATTGAAATTTAATAAGCGATTTTTAATATAATTGTATTGTTAAAGTAAAATTTTCAAGATTAAATTTCTACTGAAATTGTTATTCAATTACATAAAAGAAGTGCCGTAGCCTTCTTATTCAGGACTCCGGTGCGTTCCTCCTAGAATTATGATTTATTACAAAAACTAAGAAGCACCGGAGCCGAGATCCGGTGGGTTTAAGCTCTGAGGGGAAGGGAATTTCTTTTATCATCACAAAAATTAAATATACTTAAAAGTATAGCTGATGAAAATTCCAGGGACGAAAACCAGAATGTGGAGTATGAGTGGGTGGAAACAAAAAATGAGGGGAATCTTCGTGAGAGAGAATGTTCTCTTTGACCGACTGGCTCTCTGCTGATATAATTACAAGCCATCAAGCAGATGTGTGACAGGGGTAAAATGAGTCCTGAATCTGACTCCTAAGGATGAATGTAAAGTTGCTGGTAAGGTTTTTCCCATTAGTGGATACTGTGGGAAGATGATGTATAGGATGTGCTTGAGCAGTTTATCTCAGTATTTCACTTTTACTGTACTTGCTGTCACTCAATGCACATTTAAGAATACAAATTTTCCTTCCTGCATGGATAACTAACTGTAAGCATCAATAACAATACACTAGGTATGATGGCATGGCGAGAAATTTACGCGTTCCTAAACAAACTCCCCCAAATTTATTGCGCTTCTTAAAGGGAAAGGTTTCCGCATGTGAGTGAAAAGGCTTTACTTGAACGTCTCACGTTCTCATGAGTTCGTATTTCTAGGGAAATAGAGTATTGCAAGGTCTGCTTAATGTTAAACTAAAACATTAAGAATTTTAAATCTTTTTCCCTTTAAATTGTGGTTCAGTTTTGTAAAAAGAAGTACTGGAGCTTATCTTATTTAGGACTCTGGTGCGCTCCACTAAAATTGTAATTTATCTTAAATATTGAGAAGTACCAGAGCTGGGCTCCGGCGCAATTTAAGCACTGTACTCACAACAATATTAGTGCAAAAAGTTGTCATTATTTTTTCAGCACCTTAGATATGTGTTGTACAATAATGATACTGAACTGCAAAATATTGCAGAATGTGTTGATTAGCAAAAACATGGCTGTTTCTAAAAAACAGAAATAAAACTTTGACATTTAGTGTGAATTAGAATATGCAGCATTTATTCATTAGTGATTACATTTTACATTATGTCAAATGTATTTAGTTTGAGACATTTTTAGGAAAGGAAATAAATTTTATTAACTATTTTCGAAATTTTTGAATTTTATGAAATTTATTTTGCAGACAACCATTTTGAAACACTGGAATTTGAGACTGCATGTGGCATTTTAACTGCTAAAAAGTTATCTAATGGGAAGATACAAATAAATTTACCAGGATATGAATCAAAATCCTTGGTTAGTTTTCTGTAATTTTGTATTTATTTAAATGATGTAAATTCCTTACTCCTAAAATGGTTAATAGGAATTTTTTATGTTTATTAGAAGCAAAAATAATTTTGGAATTATATTATTCATATTTTGATACTTTTCATCAATTTAAGAAATAAATTAAAAAAAAAAACACATCTTAAAACTATAACATTTAGAGCTATTTTTCCAGCAGTTAAATGTTAATTGTTAGTCTTCAGAGTTATCCGAAGGTTATCATCTCAAGGAGTAGCCATAGAAGTTAATAATAATACCCAGATTTATTTGACCAAAAGTTTTGGAGAAATTTCTTCCATTATTCAGAGATAATTAATTAATAATTAAATAATAATTAACAGATAATGTTATTAAAAAGAAAATATATTATATAGATGTAAATCAAGATTCGAATACAAACCTTATGTATGAATAAACGTGATGATTTATTTTGTTGGAGATAGCTTAATATTAGATGAGAGTTTAATTAGAGAATGCACCAATTTGTAGTCATGGCTGAGAAAAACTGCTACATACATGACTGGAAATTGCTATGTAGTGGATGACCATATGGAATTTTGGAAGAAGCATGGCTAGCTTGGTAGTTAATCATTTATTTCTGAATGATGAATTTCTTAGCACGTTATCTTTTTAATTTGTGGAACACTAAGGGTGCTAAATGTACCCACACAGTTTTAGACACGTAATTACATCTAAAAAAGTGGAGAATAGCTAGCAGAAGCGAAGTGACACGTTGTCAGGAAGAGGGCAAAGTGAGAGATCTGGTTTACTCAAGCAGCAGCAGGCAAGAAAAAGTGATGCATACTAACAGTGGTCATATTTTTAAGCTCAAAATTTTTTTTCGAATCCTGAGTAGTGATTAGGCAAAAATTTACAGCAATGCAGTACTGCAGAGAAAATGCAGATGCCTTGAAAGAATTGCACTTTAATTAAAAATTAAAAATTGGTAATTTTAAAGTCTATTATCAATCTGTTCCAATTAAGTTTAATAATATTGTTTCATATTTTATAACAAATTGACAGTTTAAATTTAAATTACTAATTTTTAATCAAAGCACAACCCTTCAAGACATCTGCATTTTCTTTGCGGTATCCACATTGCTATAAACTTTTACCTATAAAAGAGATGACAATGCAAAAATTGTATTATATATTTATTAAAGGAAAATTAACCAAATTACTAAAACAGATTCTGAGCTCATACCTGGAACAGATGCACTAATCCTGGAAAGACTGTTATCCTTGAGAGAAATCAACAACACATTTCGCTGACGTCAATTTTTCTTTTTTCGATTTTACAGGTACTTTATCCACTGAAATTAGCGGCGGAGCTTCATATCTGTTGAGTTCAAAAATGTGATGAATCATTTCATTTTAGATAACTTGATATTAAATGGCAGCTTGGTTAGAGAATGCACCAATTCATTTTGTAGTCATGGTGAGGAAACTGCCTCGTAGGTGAATGGAAATTGCGATGTGGTGGATGATGGGAATTGAAATTTGAAAGAAGCATGACCAGCTTGGTGGTTAATAATTTTTCTAGATGACGAATTTTTTAGCACAGTATCTTTTTAACTGGTGAAACACTAGGGGTGTTAAATGCACCCCCACAATTTTATATATGTAATAACATTTCAAATAGTGGAGAATAGCTAGCAGAGGCTAGCTAGTAGTGACAAGTTGCCAGGCATAGTGAGAGATGCGGTTTACTCAAGCAGCAGCAGACAAGAAAAAGTTGTGCTTACTAACAATGGCCATATTTATAAAGTGGAAAATCTTTTTTTTCAATCTTGAGCAGTGATTGGGCAAAAGTTGACAGCAATGCATGTACTGCAGGGAAATCACAGATGCCTTGAAAGTGTTTTTCTTTAATTAAAAATTAGTAATTTTAAGACGTCTTGTCGATATGTTCCAATTATGTTTAATAATTTTGTTTCATATTTTGTATTTTACAACAAATTGGCAATACACCTTTAAATTACTAATTTTTAATTCAAGGACAACCCCTTTAAGGACTTCTGTGCTTTCTTTGAAGTATTCACATTGCTGTAAAGTTTTGTCTATAAAAGAAATGAAAATGCAAAAACTAGATTATGTATTGAATATAAGAAACTTAACCAAATTATTGAAACTTTCTAAACTCATACCTAGAACATATGCACTATTAGATCAAAAGTGTTTTCTACATTAGACCTAGCATCTGTTTATCAGTATATTAAGTTAAATGAGAAAGATATTGAGAAATTAGCATTTGCAGCCAATTTTGGTCTTTATGAATTTAATAGATTACCTTCGGGTTGGAAAAATTCGCCAGCTTTCATAGAGCCTGTAAATATATTTTAAATAAATAAATTCTGTCTGCTTAACTTATTTTGATTTCATAACAGTATTTTACCAGAATTTATAAGAACATTTAGAGCATCTTAATATAATGTTTGACATGTGAAAAAGGAAATATAGATTAAAACAGTCAAAGTGCCATTTTGCTAAAGAAAAATAAATTTTATAAGCTATGAAGATGAAGCAGGAAAATACCAACCCACTAATGTAAATGTTGAAGTTATTAAAAAATTACAACCTCCTAAATACGTTAAAGAATTACAAAAATT